ATTCGCATTCTCTATGTGGTGAGAATATCTCCTCTTTTTCAGTTTATTCAATAGAAAACAACTACATTCCTGGCTATATGCCACGACGAACATTGAATTATATTTATTGAACACACACGATAAGAGTTTGAAAATAAAACACAAAAACTTCAGACAAAAATATGTATATGCACACATCATTCTGAATATTCAACAGAAAACAACTACTTGGCTACAACCTGGCTATTTGCCACGTCGAACATTGAATTATATCTGATGAACATTCAAAAGGAGAACATGAAAAATAAAAAATAAAATCCTCCGAAATTGAGAATTGACATTCTTCTTCAATAAAATGGAATTTCTTTACAACGCCAGAACTCGGTATTGATTCATCCTATTGGATTCATTTTTTCACCAAAAGTTAGGGAATTCGTTGGGGATCATATCGTCTCGATTGAGTGTGCTTCTAAAATTTATAGTAAATGAGCTATGCTATAGCCTATCAATTACGAGCGCACCAGTGTGGACTGATGTGAGATGTGAAATCTCAACCTACTAGTGTGACGTAAGCGTCGAGAGAGAGGGGATAGACTACGGCCCGGTGAGATAGAGTAGGCCCTGGCTGAATGCTGAGAACTGACAAGACCACGCCCACAAGTCATGCACGGGGTTGTCACGTTCACCGATTCAAATGTCCTCTAGTGTGAATTGATATAATTATTATTTACACAAATTTGTTATAAGCAATAAGCCACAAATCATAAGGGAACATGTTGAGACAATTCAATTTTTATTGCTAAATAATTAGAAATATTACCAATACTCATGAGAATTTATGAATTATTGAATAACAATCGTATTTCAAAACATGGCAAGTGTGCTATGGTTTGCCGCTACTTAAGAAATCGTTGCGTCAGTTTTTACTAGCGGTAAATTTTTAGCCGTATGAGAATTACCGTGGCATTATTGATGATTTTAGCACCTAAAAATCGACCGAAAAATTCTCAAAAAATATAAAATTGAAATAAGGTTGAGTGATAATACTATTCAAGAAATGAAAAAATCAGTCCACTCGCCTATTCATGAATATTTCTTGTGTTACCAATATAGTCCAATAAATAAATGGAAAAAGTTAACATTAATTACGCACTATTTTCATCTTCCGGTTGGAAGTAGCTTTTGGTACCTCATTAAACTGTAACATGAAAATTTGCCTTTTCGTGTTCCATATTGTGAATTCTGCAAATAGGTAATGGGGAAGCTTTGTAGAGATGCACTGCGTAACTCAATGATTTCTTTTCTAGGTTTTGAGGTACTTTACATAATTCCATCTTGTTAAATGTTTTCATTTTCAATGTCCATGACTGGATGATTGTTGGGTTATTTTAGTCCACTTCTTAACAATTCTTGCACATATGTCAGATGCCCATGAACATTGTTGTTTACATCATAGTCTCCTGCCAGTAGAAGACTGTTTGTCGCGTTTAGTGGCAGTGGCCTGTAATGGTGCAGGGATATTCGCAATGTTGTATCGACTGGTGAATCGACTAATGTATCGACTATCGTATCGACTATCGATGTCATGATCGATATTTAATATTTCTTTCAAGTTGCATCCCTGAATCTGTCTTCAATCATATTATTTGGGTGGCTAGATTGACATTGCGCAGAGACGAAATTTGGTTTGTATTATTTTTTTGCAATAGATCAAAAGTGCTCTGATTGACGGAAACTTGTTGTATGAGCAATTTCCGTTTATTCATCCTTCTTTTTGATTCCTTCTCTTGTGAAAAGGTTTCATGTGCTGAAGCCAAAATGAAGCTCTTTTTGATTTTGGCTCTCGTGCGATCAAGTCAGGTGGTAGACACCTACTTTTGTGTTAGGCCTTTCCGATAGGAAGGTAAGAAATATTAAATCTCTTTTTGTGTGGATGATATTCGATAGGGTATCTACATTTCAGATATCACGGCCTTATACAGGGGAGCAGGGGGTACAGACTGAGTGGATGATATGAACTCCATTTTCTGTTGACCACATGGCATGTTTCTGGACTTGAATTTTATCAATCAACACTGTTAACTGGATGGATCACTAAGAATCGAATCTTTCATCAACTATGGGCATTTAGAAATCTTGAACTGTTTTCTGGACTTCACTGTTTGGACATCACATGACATTTTCTTCCGATGGTTGAGGCACCTGAGGGATCTTCGTGCTTTGAAGCCTGAGTCACCAACACACTTGAAGGTGGAAGCAAGACCCTGGTGATTTCTTGTGTTTTGTCTCTGGGCATCTATAGGACCCGACAGCCTGGAATTTCTGGCAGAATCCTTGCTGCCAACAGTGCAAGTCCCTAGCAGCCCTTCTGGTTCAGATAGCCAGTGATCCTGACTTCTGACAGGAAGTCCAGGGGAGTCCAGACTCCCGGTATGGTTGATTGATCCTAAATCCCTAGGATTTTGTTACTTTGGAGCCTGAACTCCCAGAGCCCAGTCAGATAGTGAGACGTCCTGGTCCAGCTTGGATGATAGGAAGAGCTTGCCCTGGTGGCAGCCTGTGGACCCGTCAGCCAGAGTTGCAGTGCAGAATCCAGTTGCCCTGGGATACACCAAGTGCCCAGGTCTCCAGGTGGTTGTGACTCCTGTCAACTGTGTGGGGATCCAGTTTTCCTAGCACACCTAACCCCTAACGCCGACTGAGGGAGGAGTGTCTTTGTTTCATCCAGGTAGTGAGATCTAGTGGACCACCGTTGGAATCTCATGGTACAAAATCCAGAACTTGCAGCTAAGGTCAGAATATTCCATATATACTTTTTTCCCTGTCTTGAGGACATTTCAATTGCATATTTTTTCCCTGTCTGAGGACATTTAACATGTACTTTTTTTCCCTGTCTTGAAGACATTTAACATACATATTTTTTCACTGTCTGAGGACATTTAATCTACATTTTTTTTTTCCTGTCTGAGGACATTTAAATAGTTATTTTTCACTGTCTAATGTCATGAGATATTTGAACACTTGTCAATAACACATAACAGTCTAAGATCGGATTTTATATATAATAGAATTTTTGGGTCTGTTAGAGACTCTGTGAACCCAAAGTATAGGCCTATATGAAGGGAAATCAACCCTTGTACTGAGTTACAATCATAATACATATTTACCATCATCTGAATACCTATTGTTGACATGTTAAGGTGAATAAATCTGTTAACAGTTATTTTGGCTTATACTTATATCTTGGATTTTTTTCTCAGTAATTCAGCTGTGAAAACTGAGTGGCGCCTGACAAAAGGATAACCCCACTAGTTACCTAAAAAAAGAACTAACTCACGACCTGCTCCCAAACAAACGAGCTGCCGTGCCTATAACAAGTAAAAATCTTTTTCTTTTCCAAAATATCAAAAGAGTTGTTATAAAACATGAGACAAAGGTTTACTGGAAAACGCATGCGATGGCGGAGAAAATGGCCCCAAAAGACCAGAAAAATAGGTTTTCAGCCAATATCTCCTAAAATATGGCAGTTAGAGATTTCCGGTTCAGATAAAAATTGAAGTTCAGTTAATTTTCTACAAAAATGATCCTAATCATTTTTCTCGAAAATTTGCCCGGTTTCGAGAAAAACGGCACGAAGCGCACCTCGAATAATGAGCTTCTGTTGTATGCCGGAGAGCACAGTCCGTGTATTTACACATCGGCGGGGGGACAAATTATTCAATAACTTTGTTAAAAATGCATTTTTTCTCATGATTCAAAGTTCATGTGAAAGAAGAATTCTGCTGCTATCATACCCTGTGGATTGAGTCACGCTTGACTCTTTTGGCCATATCGGAACATGGGTCAAACTTTCTGCTCCCGGTAGATTTTGACCTCGCCAGGAATTTGTTCCTATTTTTTTGTATTGCACTAATTTACTCAAAATTTTCTTGATTATGGGTCCTCATAAGGTCCTTTGTCATCCCTGAAATTTGTATACCCTAATTTTTTTTAATTTTCATTTAATCTTTGTTTATTGAATCCCAATTTTTTGCTGTTTTTGGAGCTCGGGGAAATTTTGTGAACAACCATCAATTAAAAATTTATATATATATAATCCGATTGGTTTCTATGATAAATCATTTCAAAGCTAAAAAGGTCTACTTTTCGATTGGGCAATTACTTTTTTAGACGGAGTCGTCCATTTTTCAATAAAATTAGAAAAAGCGGGGTCAAGGAAAAAACGCACTTTTTTTTCGGTGTTTTTTTCTCCGTGCTCTTTATTTCTAACATTTTAACACCTTAACTAGTGTAACGGGGGAATTCCCACCTTTCCATCGATGTATATAAGTCATACCTTTGATATCCCGGGAAAAAACCAGTATATCTAAATGTACATGCTATAATTTATTACTTTCGTTCCTCCGTCGTTCGCCGCGTGTGTGCTCTACGTGGCGCTCGAGTCGTCTGCTACAAACCATGCGGCCACGCAGGGTATGATAGCAGCAGAATTCCTCTTTCACATGAACTCTGAATCATGAGAAAATATGCATTTTTAACAAAGTTATTGAATAATTTGTCCCACCGCCGATGTGTAAATACACGGACTGTGCTCTCCGGCATACAAAGAAGCTCATTATTCGAGGTGCGTTTCGTGCCGTTTTTCTCGAAACCGGGCAAATTTTCGGGAAAAATGATAATGACCATTTTTGTCGAAAATTAACTGAACTTCAATTTTTATCTGAACCGAAAACCTCTAACTGCCATATTTCAGGAGATATTGGCTGAAAACCTATTTTCCTGGTCTTTTGGGGCCATTTCCTCCGCCATCGCACGCGTTTTCCAGTCAAACTTTGTCTCATGTTTAATGAGGTACCAAAAGCTACTTTCAACCGGAAGATGAAAATAGTGCGTAATTAACGTTAACTTTGCCTTTTTTTCCCCCTTCATTTATTGGACTAATATTACAAATCATAATGAAAGCTTCCGATTGGTATATGGAAGTTGAGTTGTTTATTTTTCATGTTCATATTTTATTCTAGCCGCTATATCATGACAATCGACTTCTACTATCTACCTGGTAGTGCACCTTGCAGAAATGTTCTTCTGGCTGCAAAAGCTGTTGGAGTGGAACTCAACCTCAAGTACACAGATATAATGAAAGGGGAGCATTTAACCCCAGAATTCATCAAGGTAAGGCGATATTTGGTAAAACTGCATTTATCATGCGATGGGTTTTTTTTCGAAAAAAATTTTTGGTACTTACCTACGTATTTTTGTCTGAAAAAACACGAATTTGATAATGAAAATGTGAACAAACCATTATTTATTAAGATATTTCACTATAAAGTTACGAATTTCACTTTCTTTTCCGCCTGTTTTCTGGATGGCATTTAGAACAATTGGCCCTTCTTTTTTCATCATTGGACAATTTATATATACCACAATGTACGACACTTTTCTTCTAATACATGAGTCAACTAGGAACATGATTTTCTTGTGATTTATCCATATTTAGTGAAAAGAAGGAATAATATCATAATAATATCATTTAAAATAATGGCGTGTGTAACTGTGTAATGTCATTAAAAAAAACTGTTGACATTTGACATCTCGTATTTGGATTGAGTCATCTGGTATGCTTGTTCACTAAATATGAAAAACTCATCAAACAAATCATATTTCCTGTTGAATTTCCTATATATAAATGTGGCATTGAAGTACATAATGAGTATATAAAGTTTTTGGGTGTATGATAAATTGACATTCATCATACAGGGCGTGGAAAGAAAATTGTGAATTGATAGAGTCTCAATTCAGAATTTTCTTTCCCCGCCCTGTATGATTAATGTCAATTTATCATACACCCAAAAGCAAAAACGTATAAATGACAGGAATAGAATGTCAACAAATTTACTCAGATGTCATTTTGTTATAGTTTTACTCGGTTTTAGTTGTATTATAGAGATATGAAAATTGTGTATATCATGAAGAATGGCTGTAAGAATAAGTGGATATCATGGTTACTGATGAGGATTCAGAAATCCGAAATGGTTCCATTGCAATAAAGTCAAATAACCTGTGTGTGAGAGATAATATTTCCCATATCACTGATATGAATGATTATTTTTGGAAGTTTTCAAGCTCATCAAGATCAGAGTTTATGCCAGTATACTTCACCTATACATTCTAATTTTCATTTCAATGCTGAATATATTGGTAAGTTATATTTCTATATCATTATACATCATATTATTCATCCGATTTGGACAAGAATGTCAATTCTCAATTTCGGAGGATTTTAATTTTTACTTTTCATGTTCCCCTCTTGAATGTTCATCAGATATAATTCAATGTTCGACGTGGCAAATAGCCAGGAAAGTAGTTTTTTTTTCTGTTGAATATTCAGAATGATGTGTGCATATACATATTTTTGTCTGAAGGAGAATGCAAATTCTCAATTTCAGAAGTTTTTATATTTTATTTTCAAACTCTTATCGTGTGTGTTCAATAGATATAATTTAATATTCGTCGTGGCATATAGCCAGGAAAGTAGTTGTTTTCTATTGAATGAACTGAAAAAGAGTAGAGATTCTCATCACATAGAGAATGCGAATTCTCAATGTATTGCTCCATATAAATATACATATATCCATTTTTGTATGTTCATAATTTATCTGAGAATATTATTCCTTTGCAGTATATAAAGTGTTCAATGAGAAAATAAAAAGAGCAATTACCGGTAAATTCATCCAACGCAAGGCGAAAAAGAAGGCGAAATTTCGAACTCTTTTTTTGAAATGTCTCGATAAATAGTGGTTTGTCAACATTTTCATTATCAAATTCGTGTTTTTTAAACAATATACGTAAGTACCAAAAAAATTTCGAAGACAAAAACCATCGCATGATAAATGCAGTTTTACCCGATATTTTATACTTCATATACCACATAGCGAATTGATTCTGTATCGTACGCGGCTTTGCTGGCGTAAAATTGCAAATTAGAAGGAATGTTTGATTTCAGTTAGTTATTATACAAGGGTAGAAGTATTAGATTTTAGCTCTAGGTTGTGATATCTCCCCACGCGAAACGGAGAGAGACAAAAAACATGGAACTAAAATTAAATATTTCTCCCATATGAAAAATCCCACAAGCCGCGTGATTTTGTCATTATCACAGCGAAAACAGTTTGCCCTAACTTTTCCAGCGACAATAACTATCTAATCTCATAATTCATACACTTTTTGATTTATTCGTGATGGTTCAGGATGTAACTAGGTGTTAATTTCATATAATAAGGGTATTTTTTGCGTAAACTTGAATAATACCACTATCGAAAGTAATAACTTTTCATCCTGTTGGTGTTTCTTCTGAATGGATATTTTAGAACCTCCCTAAATTACCACATCCGTGTAACTCTCCACACTATAAAGGTGTGAATTGACACCACTGTACACGGTATTATCAAATTCCTAATAATATTGATTTAATATTGCTGATCAAGTGTTGTTTCAATCGGAGTTATTTCTGAAATCCACTCGATTGAAATTACACCCGAAAATTTTTCACTGTGTACTCTATGTATGATTTTCAATTTTTTCCTTTTCAAGATCAATCCCCAACACACTATACCTACCCTAGACGATAATGGCTTTGCCATATGGGAAAGTAGAGCCATCATGACATATTTGCAACAACAGTATGGGAAAGATGACAGCCTATACCCCAAGGATCCCAAACGAAGAGCCTTGGTTGATCAACGATTGTACTTTGACATGGGTACTCTATACAGTAGTTTCTACGAATATTATGTAAGTTATTTTTTTCATTCACTGCTCAACTGCTACTTAGTATAATACATACAGGGTGTCTGTAAAAGGTTGGGACATGGCTCGGCTGTGGACTCCTGGAATAAAAACAAGTTGATTTAGGCCAACTTACCTATATCCAATATCGTTTCGTTGAGTTGTTACATTTTTTCCAATGCCTATATATACATATCATTTCGGTATAATGAGGTAGGTATACAAAACAACATCCTTGAACAGGTAGGTACAATAATACATGACAATTATTCGTTATTAAAATTTCTAAGACTATTATCTATCTCTTTAACATACACTTATAAGTGTAACACAACTAATTAGGTACCTATCATAACCAGTCCAATGATTTATTTTCATGATTTAGCGACATTTTTTATCAAGATTCACATGATCAAAGTGTCTTCAAAAAACTTCAACAATGTGAAAAATGTTAGATTTCTAACACTGAAATCAAATTGCGATGGAGACAAACATGGTATTGTCTGTAAAGGCTGTATGACACCTGTTAAATTTGATGACAAATATGTTAACAAAAATGATGACAAAAATATTTTTATGTGTCATGAAGGTGTTGATTTTGCGCAGATTCGCAAACATTCTTGTAAAAATATAGGACTGGTTCTAAATATTTTGATATTATAAATATTTTTTCTGTATGGCACATAGAAAATATTTTTGTTATCATTTTTGTCATCATATTTGTCATCAAATTCAACAGGTGTCATACAGCCTTAAGAGGGGAACAATGTGGTACAGTTGAATAATTAATCATCCATCGCAAATACCGGGTGACACAGGATATCGGGCCACTCCTGTAACTTCTGCATTCGTATAAATAGCAATTATCCTATTTTACGAATCGATATAAAGATTCTGAGTGAATTCAACGTATATGTCTCCTTCAATCGTCTTATTGAAAATCCTTGCCACTAACACGAACGATTAGAATCATGTTTGTTCCGAAACAATTTGACGTTATGGAATGTTCATTTCTGGAACAGTGTTTCAGAATAGTTATTTACCTAACAAGTGCAGAAAGTAGTACTTTTCTGCACGCGACGGCAGTCGTCAAGGGCGAAAAATATACATTTTCTGTAAGAGTTAAGTACAAAGTTTCTCCTACGAGTGTTTTTGTCGATATTATTTATGAAATAAAAAAGGTTTTTAATAAACTATATTGTATAATGATGCTACACAATTACACATAAGACAGAATAGTTACATGGTTCATTTAGGTATAGTCCTAAATATCCTACAATACAAACATAAGTAACTTTTCAGCACTATTGCGGTAAAGTAACTTTTCTGCACGATATAATGAATAGTTATTTTTGTATCTAGAGCGCGAAATGCTACTTTGGTGATCGAGATCTGATTTTTTAACGAGGCGTAGCCGAGTTAAAAAAATAGTCGAGATGACCAAAGTATTTCGCGTTCGAGTTGCAAACAACATTTTTTCTACAAACGTCAAAAAATGTAGTTCTAAAGTAAAAATATGCTTAGCTTGATATCAAAAATAGTGTTGAACTGGCTTAAAAGGCCTCTCCCTATCCTCCCTAGGTACGCACGATGTTCCACGAACATAATAGGAATTTCCTTTCGTGCGCTCCAAGAGATAAAACAAAGTTATTGTTGAACATTCAGAAATAAATGATTTCGTGGATGTTTGCTCGATTGAGGACCATGAAGTTGAAATATAAATATCTCATATATTTTACATAACAATGCGCGAAGTAGGTACTTCGCGCATTGTTTTGTGCAAGGTATCATGGTAACGTAGGAAACTGAAAAAAAGTGTCACTTCGCAATTTAATAATAATAATAATGATATGTCTTTATTCATCATCATCATTTCACAACTGGTAGAGAAAGAAACAAATAGATGAAAGGGCGGGGTTCAGCTAAGAAGCTGCTTTTAAACCCAACCGGTAGAATGATAGAAATATAATTAATAAGAAACTAAATTACAGAATTTTCAGAATGAATTTATGATTAAGAATTGTACAAAGGTTATCGGAATAATTACCAGAAAATTAGTATAAATGTATAAGAGGACAGTACAGTTTAATGCACTAAATAAGATAGTTACAACCAGATCAAAAATCACGCCGTCATAAAAAAGGAAAAACTACTGTTGCCCAGAGAAAAACAATTTCAGCCGTTTCTTAAAATTATTTAAAGTGAATTCCTTGAATTCAACAGGGATGGTATTGTAGAGCTTAGCAGCATTAAAGGAAAAGCTTCGGGTGAAAATTGACTTGGTATGTCTAGGAATAAGTAGCAAATGCTTGTTGCGCGAAGACTTTTTAAGTGATAGTATAGAAAGTTTATTACGTAAATATGGCGGTGAACCAGATGTCAAAATTTTGTGGGTAAAAGTGAGTAGGTGTATTTCCCTCGCGTATTTCCTATCAATACGCGAACCTTGTCATTTTTTGACGTTTGTAGGAAAATAGATTTTTTTCTGTGACGGGAAAAAATTTTGGCATTTCATCTCTGTTGGCAGGTTATAAAATGTCACTTTTCATAAATTACTTTTTTCTCGTGGGAAAAAAGTGAGTACTTTTTTCCCGGATATATTTCACATATATAAACACTGTTGATGGCTTTCGTTGTGCTATAGTTCCGAAAAATGAGTCAATAATACCGTCTCCGAGAAAGAACTGCAAGTCCTTTCATCTTCCATTCGACTTCGCGGTTACGTATATTACTAAACAACCACTAAATTCGCAATTTTTTAAATCACATCACAGAATTAGACTGACAGAAGTGACATCAGATATTTGATTACTTCAAATGAATGATAAAGATGCCTACATCGCAGTGTCCCTACTGTTGAAAACTTAAAATTTCACGTCGATAATTTTCAGATTCCAAAATAATGTAATAACTTCTCAATATTGATTCTTCCTTTATTCTGTCACAAAAAACAATAGTGTATTATACACGAGAAAAATATTAGATTTTAAAATCTACTACTTTTTTCCCTTGTATAATAAATAACTATTTTTTCATCGATATAATATAGGGAACCAATTTGAAGAACATTTAAATAACAGTTATTAAAACATTACCGATGGTAAATATTGAAATTGAAAGTGCAATTTGTGTTTGTTGCATGCTGTAATCTAGCAGATGCCGCAACATCTTGAAGAACGTTGTTTCTTATTTGAATTTGATCGGTTAGTGTTTGGCCCACTACAGAAATGCCTTGATCCTCGTCTTGATCATTGCTGAGAATTACTAGTGTAGTGAATGAAGGAAGGTAGATTGGTTTGCAATGCTTATTTATTATTGACTGCCACTACTGTCAGTTTATAGCGATACTGTTGCTATACATGTCTCCTGGTATTTCCTTCGAAATCGTGCGGAAAAGTAAAAATAACGCGGAAAAGTAAAATCGTACGGGAAAGTACAACTTTTAAAACGAGAAATCATGCGGAAAAGTTACTTTTCCACACGCTCGTAGGATATAGCCCTAACAACACAGGGATGTCCTAGGTACGTCCCTTTTTTGTCCCGCGGTACGAGGACATGATTGGGACATCCAATGGATGTCCTGCAGTGGTTGTCCAGTGGACATCCCGCCCGGTACATCCCTAGGTTATCCTATTCGTGTCCCTGGAGTATCTGATATCCATTCACACCAGAGTCATTGAATTTCATCAAACTATTGAGTTGCATTTTTTTGAAAATGTTTGTTTCTCTTCCGGAAAATGATTGTAATCAAAATAAAGAATAAAGTCTCAGAACTTCTTAAGAAATTACCATTTTTCGCAGACAGAAATCGTACATGCATAATGCCCCTCATTTTGAAACACCCAAGAATGATAATAATTATACCCAATTCCTAATAAAGTTGTATATTTATTCAGGTTTCTGTAGTTGAGTATTGTTTATGAATCCGTTTAGTACATAAATCTTCAGGATTCAGGTGCGTGCATGATAAGCCAAAGGTCCCGGGTTCAATCCCTACTCGACCTGCAACTTTTTTCTTTTGTCGAAAGGATATCCCTGGGATATCCTTGGGACGTCCTAGAGATATCCTTTCATCGTACACTTGGTACATCCCAGGGACGTACCAGAAGGACATCCCTTGGAGGCCTTTTTTAGCGGTCAGCGGATGTCCCTGGGACATTCCTAGTTTGTACGTTGTCCCGACAAAGGACATCCCTGGGATGTCCTAGTATAAAATCAGGGACGTCCATGGGAAGACCCTAGGATGTACTGGTGTTGTTAGGGAGTATATTGTTTAACGAGCACGGAATGATAGTGATTTCCCACGAGAATGAAGTTTGCAGCATGAGCAGTATGCGAATGCTGCGAGTGGGAAATTAGCATTCCGTGCGAGTTATGCACTATAATTTTTCTACGGCTGTAACAGATAACAACGGCATTTTCGATTTCTTCGTCTTGTAACAATCTGATTTCCTGTCAAGTAATGTTCATCTATAAGACAGTAAGACAGCTAATCCAGTAACTTTATACATCACAGTATGCGTCAAATCCGGTAGTTCTGATTTTTTGCAGACTTGTTCATGATGTTGACCTAATGAATAATCCAAGTTTGTGACCTTGAGCGCTGAACGCAACTTTGTCAAAAATCGAAAAAACTGCGAAAAAATCTGTTTTTTTCAGTTTTTGGCTCTTTCAGAACATTTTCAAAGTAGACCAAATTTGCTACAATATGATATAAAAACTGTCTCTGTGGACTCATTAGTTTCCGAGATTGTGCCTTTCAAAGTTCATCATTTTTTTTAGAACTTCGCAATTTTTTGCAATCCCGTCGTTCTGATTGAATTTTGACCCTGATTATACAATCGAAGCCCTGTACTTTCATGATGTGATGATAAGAAAGGAAATGAGGAGTGTGTACGAGGATGTTTGAGCTGAGCTACGAATAATGAAATAAAAAAGATAAGTACAAAAAAAGTTAATGAGTTTATTTGTTAGGAAATAGAGTAATATTAAAGATCAACAAATTAGATTAATTTAGCCCTCTTGGAAGGTCCCGGTTGAGGTTCGTCTAGATCTGGATCGACGTATTGGGATGGCATATCCCCATCAGGGGATGGTGATGAATCGTCGACGTCTTTTGCCCACAAGTCATCCTCCATTTCAACATCGGACAGATCGTCGCCTTCTGGGATATCTACTACTACAACATCAGGCACATTGAGGACTTGATGGATTTTGGAAACCTTTTAGAGTATTATTTCATTCAGTTTTGGTTAGATTTATTGTGAATAATGAAAACTCAATATGATTTTGAAGGAAAAATGCGGGTAACGTGTATTGTGGTGGATAGTGGAAGCCGTGCAGATCGGGAAAATTTGCTTAGTTTTTTCACATTCCTACTGTGATTCTGTGAAAAACTCTGTGCATTATCCACAGATAAAAGATCTATCAAGAATAAGAAGAGAAATGTGGATAGCAGCAATCAAGAGAAAGGATCTAACAACAGAATCAATCATGAGAAACCAAAGGATGTGTAACAGGTACCTGAGGGAAAACCAATACTCATTATAATATGTGATGGCCCTACAACCAAGCGCCATCTTGCCAGTTGAAAAGTCCCGTGGTTTGGATTGCCTAAAAAGTTTGAAAACGTGCAACAGGTGGGTCGAATTCGTGACTTCACACGAACAGTACAAGCACACTCCGCTAGAGTATATTCGAGTGACGCCTAAAACATTGCAAAAAATTGCAAAGTTCGACAAAAATTATAAACTTTGAAAGGCTGCATCTCGAAAACTATTGGGTCTACAGAGAACGTTTTTGTATCATATTGTAGAAAATTCGATCTGCTTCAAAAACGTCCTGAGAGATTTTTTTCCAAAAACTAATCCTTCAAGGTTATAATCGCAAAAATTTGAAAAAATTACGATTATTTCGCGGTTTTTTCGATTTTTGACAAAGTTGCGTTCGGTGCTCGAGGTCACAAACTTGGATCATTCATTAGGCCAACATCATGAACAAGTCTGCAAAAAATCAGAACTACCGGATTTGGACACTCCAAGAGCGATGAGATTTTTTGGAAATAATAACACTATGGAGTCATTATATGATATCAGATACGGAAATGAATTGGCTGATATTTTGTTTTGTGTTATTGCCGTAGAAAAAATAACTGTCCTTACCATTTATTTCAGTCTCCCATTTTCTTCGGAGATGGAAAGAGTGACCCAGCCAAATTCGAAAAAGTCAACGACGCCTTCAAATTCCTGGACATCTTCATCGGAAATAACGACTACTCCACCGGTAACAATCTCACTCTTGCCGATCTGGCATTGGTCTCAACCGTTTCGACCTTCGAGGTGATGAACTATGACCTTTCTCCCTACAAGAACGTATCCAGATGGTTCGCCAAGGTCAAAGCAACGGCTCCCGGTTACGAAGAAGCTAATGGGAAACCAGTGCTGGCTTTCAAAGAGCGTGTTGACTCATTTATCGAAAAAAGGAATAAGTAGAAATAAGTTATTGAAATAAGTTTAATACTGTCTGTAGGCTCTGTAAAGGTGGGAACAGACCAAGCAAAAATTGTTGTGCAACAGTGGAACAACACTCGAGAAACACACAAGTTTACACAGTGTGTACGTGTTGCGCAACAGTTGCACAACACCCAGGCAACCAGATGACGTTTCAGTGACGTCTTTTTACGTCAGTTGAATGACCAAGGTGAAGTCAGGACTTGACGTCGTATGACGTGATAAATGACGTGAAAAAGTCACAGCCCAATGACGTCATATTACTCACGTTCATTGACGTCATTCACTCATCAAACTAAATATCGTTTATGCAATGTTGATTCTGCTTGGTGGTCCCTCCGGTGTCATGTCCATTCAATCGTCTATTCAGCAGCGATATCCCTCAGTATCTACGCATCTCCATCAGAATAAAATCAGTTATTCGTATTCGTTTGTGTTGGCGAGATGTAAGCAAACCAAGAACAGTTCGATAGCATAAAAAGGATGTTGGCGAATTTAGCTTCACTTTGTTGAATAACGTATATTCATGCATTATTTGTCACCCAACAAAAATCTAAATATCAAATTATTGAAAAATTTTCTGAATGACGAAGCTCACCAAATTGGTACGTCACACCGACGTGATTTTTAGACGTCATAGATACGTCACTGCAACGTCATAAAAGTGACGGTTTCAATATAGGTAGGCCTATATCAAAGAATAGTAGGCCTCTCCTCTTTGCCTATAATATCAATTGTATATTTACATACAGTATGGTTGAAAATGTATGGAATAAATTCATTATCTCTAACGCATATGAATTTGAAAAAAATCCTGAGACAGGTCGATTTTTATTTTCAAATTGACACCTCTTGATATACATACGGAGTTTGTAACGTCATCCATGTAGTTGTGGTGGCGTCATCGATTATTAACAGTTGCCTACCTGTTGTTCAACTGTTGCACAACAATGTGTTTTGGTCTGTTCCCACCTTAACAAAACAGCGCCAGAAAAATGGCGCGTCTGAAATATATATAAAATAAAACAATTTGAGACTCAATAATACTCTTATACCTCATAATTTCATATTGAGTGAACACTAAAGACAAGTAATTAATGAACAGAACATAAATAGAGAACTTATTATCAGCATGCCTAACAATGTTTATATTATATTTAAAGTGTTTAAAAGTGTTTTTAACCGCCAGCTTAGTTGCAAAGCAACCCTCGAAAGTCAGAGACTTGTGTGAGTTAAGAAGACGGGGACCTTAGCTTTTTAAGTGTCATCCGAAGCACTAGTATTAAAGCTATACTGCTCATAAGTAGTGCTTCACTCACTTCAAGAGTAACTTTCAATCAGGTTCTACCACGGTTCTACAACTAGTGTAGTAGACATGCGATAAAAAATGGTCTCAGGTGGAAATAATTCCCACAACATTTCTTTTTGCTTTTCTCAGTTCAGAATGCATAGAATAACACATATGAGAAAATATATAGAATGATACCTGTGTGCAAAATAAAAATACAGTGTTTCCAATATTCGTTTATTCGTTAATACGTATAAATCATAAACCTAAGAAAAATGGCATATTTGGCATGTAACAGAAGTTCATTCATTATCTTCAACTTCCCCTATTGGAATATTGGTACTTTCCCGAACAGTTATTGCACAATACTGTGCAAATAATTCCGTATCGTCGACATTTACATCTGGTTCCAGAAGGTTCATCTACTTCAGTTCAGAACTTCTGTACGTCATCATATGATACAGAAAACCCAAGCTCATGAAGTTCATCGAAAAGTAACCGAGATCGAAAATCTCAATGATATTGCACACCAACACTTAGACGAATTGAACTTATAGATCGTGGCCTTGCAGCTTAAATTAGTGCCTGTTCAATTGAATTTTTCTCCAAACTTGAGGATTTTTCGTTGATTATTATATCCAGGATGTTTTCAGAATGTCGGGTGAAACCTTATTATTTTCCTGCTCGGAACTTATTTCTTCTGGTGAAGGATAACACCCTCAAGATGTTCTCATCAACTTGATTGAATTCCTAATCAGTTTAGCTGTTTCTTCAACTATCCGAAATTTTTCAGCATCTGGATCTTCTGAACACTTTTGTCGCTGATAATCACAAATTATATTGGCAACTGTTTTCTCTGTTACGATCATATTAGCTCTACCTATTTGTCCCAATATCATAATGTCATCCGAGAAATATTCTTCTAATTTTTTATGCATACGACGAACAGTGTAAGGTTCGATATTTTCTTGAAGCAGCTCTGCCATTTTGTCCAGCAACTCCTGAACTGAAATTGGTTCATCATCTTCCTTGAGCCACCTGCATATTTCTAAAAAGGCGCATCTTCTTTATTTTTATCAGAAGGACGTCCTGCTAACTTTGTCTGTTCATTGGGAATATCATGTTGATATTTCGTAGGAATAGAGTCGCATTTTCCAAAATTCACACTACATTCCTGATTATACAGAGCATCTGCTGCTGGCAAGTATCGATAACGGGAAGAAGACGTGCAAGGACATTTGATGATCAAAAATCGTTTCTTGCATAACACACATTAATAATATAGTTTGTCGAAACGCGGAAGTTCGTACTGGTAAAATCGCAGATTGAATTATTTTCTCAGTTTCCTTGATGAATTGGCCACAAAACAAGCAATTATCTTTGAATGCGAATGTCGTCAGCTCGCAGATCACAAAGCTCTGTTGCTGCTGCTACTAGTTGATGCTTCTCTATCAGGATCTGATTTGAACCTGAGATCATTCTTCATCTTGTTTGGATTTACGTACAAACGACGACATTCGACGTGAACAATTAGAGATTAGAGGATGAATAGGCACTGGTTCCAAGAGTTCAATTATTTTGTCTTGCTGCTACCTGCTAGCACTTAAAATTCCTTGGACACCTTCAGCAGTCAATTTAACACAATTCGAACTAACATCAGTACTTGATGTAAATAATGAACATTTGTTATCTTCCATCGCTTTCAATTCACTATATTTAGGTATACCTGGAATAATATATCGAATTATGGAACCTTTCATTCACGATCACAGAGAATAGTTTCAATCACATACCAAAATGATTGTTTCACACCTCGACACGAATTTTGAGATCTGCTCACCATATTATCATTTTAAGGTAGGTTATGGAATTCGTTTGAATCTTATCCTTAAGATCCTACCATAGGTAGCGGAACATGTGTTGAGTTGTGAACCAATCATTTCTATTTGAGCACCTGAAATATGAAAAGTTGCATTAAAACATTTTTGCATGCAAGAATGCATCTATATTTTTAATATAGTGTAAGAGGTTGAATGAGGCTTCAGAAAATGAAAACTGCGTTTTTGTGAAAATTATTTCCACCCCAATTTCTCCAACTGCTCTACTAAACCTCTTCTTCTGCTGTATATATTTACACTTCGCTCTCTTCTCGCTTCTGAAACCCGCAGTACCTATTCTCATTTGAGTTTCCTCATAAGACTGCTTCTTTTTGAGTCGATCCATCAACCGAAAAATGGAAGGGTGATGACGGTTCAGAGTTTTCTGAAATGCATGAGGTCAGGCCTCTAATGAACCATTATTCTTTGGTAAATCATGAGAAACTCTTGTAAACTTGTTCCACGATGCAACTGAGAACCGAGGTGGAATGATGTGAAGCCTCTATTGTGTATTCACCTTAGGATAACTATTGTGTATACTTACCTCAAGATACACAGGAGATCTGAAAGCTAGCCTATGGAGTCTCATAGAGAAGGCGGGGCTAGCCGAAGAACTCTAATCGATTTTGAGGGCAGACACAATAGATCTGAAAAGGTCGCAGTGTGGAGGCAGATAGCCCGAAGGCCCCATTCCAAATCTAATCTACCTCAAGATATTTAGTTTTGTTCTTTGTATGGAAATTGTCACTTGTCATTGTCAAGAACAGACATGACATGAGTAGATCGTGCCAGAAATATGGGTGTGTCTGGTGTGTCTGAACAAAAGTGGTGTACTCAAATGAGTACGATGGGAGCATAGAAAAATAGCTCAAAAGCTTCAATACTACAAAAGAATCTCAAGTATTCCAAAATTGCATCACAAAAAATTAACAATATTTATGTATTATTGAGAATTTTCAGCAAATCGCAATTGGAAAGGTAGTTATCGAAGTAGAAAATATGGTCGGAAGGTTCTCCAACGCACTGAAGCAAATTTACTCCTATATCCTTTTTTATCTGTTTGAGTGTCTACCTCAGGTGAAATAACAATTATTTCAGGCTCAGGCTGTAATCTTCTGCTTCTCCTGATTTGAAGCGTTTGCCATTGAATCATTTCGAGGAAATTGGCTGAACATAATGATCCATTTCGAACCCATGTCTGAAATATAGTTCCGAAATTATCACACCATATCTTCCCATTGTACCCAAATAAGTACACCATTGTTATTTCTTTTGTTTGGTGGAGAATAATGAAAATCAAGTATCACGATAGTATAAGTATCTCGAATACATACCTGGTCAGCAGTCGAATCAAAAATTTTTAACAGAAGCAGTGCAAAAAGTAACTCTCGAAAACAGGAGATGAGTCAGCACAATCTCTTCAGTTGACATAGGTGTGCGGACAGAGTGTCAATATTCTAATCCGCATTCGCTTGCCGGTCGTGAGTTCAATTCCCAGCGACTGCAGAAATTTTTCTGATGGCCCAAGAAAGTGTTTGGGATCACACGTTAAAAGATATAGCCCCCGGCATATTCCTTGTTCGCACAAGACTTCTGAGGATTGCTCGTAAGGGGGCAACCGAATGATGGATAGAACAATTTTAGAACAATTTTGGACATGATCGACATATGCGCCATTTGTGAGAACATCTCGGAATTTCGAGTTTCTTGTATATTGCAGAATACTATCACGACATTATTTTGTTGAAAAATGTCAATAGATGTAGGTAGTAGACCATAATTTGCAGTGTACTCAGATGAGTACAGTGGGAGGTAATGGGTCAAGTGATAACTAAAAGTGTCAATAAAAAGTCCTGAAGAATGTGTGTATTCTATTGTGTCGTTTATATGAATAATACACAACACCTTCTTCCAATATAAGTGCTTTTCCAATAATCGACCACTGGCTGAGGTTCTTTACAAAACTTTTCTCAGTTATTATGTCAAAAGCAAATTGTACGTTATTATTTTCGGGTATACGAATCTCAAGTAAAGTTACATTTTCAGTTTCAGCCTTATTGTCACTACATTTGTACGGTACACCTCCGTGAATTTGTTTTCTTCTATTGTTCTTCAAAGACATTGTCCCAAGTGGAAAAAACAGCCTACTTTACGTGGAAACACTTTGGCTATGGCGTTCATGGAAGCTGTTTCAAAGTCGGACAGAATACTTAGTGGTCTCAAAAGGAATTCAATCTGTTTGAGCTTATCAAACACTCGAGTATATGTCCCTTGATGCTTGTTAGACGACAATGAATATACAGGGTGGCCCACGGTCGATGGTACCTTAGACGTATACGGAAAACGGTACATTGGATTATCCTGAAAATTTGGTTACTCTAATAAACGTTTGTGATCTAACGATTCAAAATATTTTCAGCGAAGCAGCGTTGCCACTTTTACACAAAAAGTAGCATCATCTTTGTTATTTCAAATGGAACACCCTGTATTTTATTGCGTTTTTAGATTCTTCTCGAAGAGCTGATGTCATCAATGTATCACACTTGGGCTCTAGCAGGAATTATTACAGAGATATATAGGGTGTTCAATATCGAGATTTTTCAACTTTAAGATTTTTTTGTGTCGAAAATATCCATCATTGGTCAAAACGGTTAACATGTCCCTATATCAACTTTTGATTAACTATCTACCGACATTTAATTGGAAAAAATACAGGATGGTCCAAGGTTCAGAATTTTGATCACCCTGTATCTGTTCCAATTAAATGTCAGTAGATAGTGACTCAAAAGTTAAGATAGGGACATGTAAGCCGTTTTGATCGATAATGAATAGTTTTTACACAACAAATTCCTGAAATTGAAAAATCTCGATTTTGAACACCCTATATCTCTGTAATAATTCCTGCTAGACCCCTGTGACATATCTTCATCCACATATCTGTGCTCACATGAATGTGGCAGCACTGGAGACTGTCATCTGTAATGTCGATGTCAATGTCAACGTCATGTCGGGTTTAGAATGTATCGTGATCATGTAAGGTTGAACTGTTGAAGAAAGTTAATAAATAATAAGTAATAAAGTTGTGCAATAAATTATATTACAATATAGTATAAACATACTATATGACATGGTGGCAGCGGTGGGAACCAAAGAACAAAGCAGAACTGCAGACATTCTTGGGTATGATTAATTATCTGTCAAAATTTATACCAAAT